GCTGGAAGGACTGGGGGACTGCAAGGTTGGAGGAGGTATCGGTCAGAGCTTGGTCGGGCTGGGGGGGGGGGTTATCGGTCAGCGGGTGCTGAGGTGTTGTATTCTCTTCCCTTGTTATTTCCTTAACCATTATTATCATTGGTGGTAGCAGTAGTGATTTGTGTTATACCTTAGTTACTAAACTGTTCTTATCTCAACCTGTGGGAGTTGCATTCTTTTGATTCTCCTCTCCGTCCCTCCAGGAGTAGGGGGAGGGAAAGAAGGGGCCGAGTGAGTGAACAAGTTATCTGACTGGTTTTAAACCACGACAGTTCTTTTTGGCGCCCAACGTGGGGCACGAGGGGTTGAGATAACAACGGATGTGACCGGATTAATAGTCATTTGTCACAATGCTGATTTATTGGCTCTCAGAGTTGTTCCTCTTGATCTCACAGCTTCAGAATGTTGTAACTTACGTAGAGCCGGTATTTGCTGTGTTGGTGTTTATCAAGTGTGGGGCCTGGGCTAAGGTTCTTGTCTCACTGTGCTTTATAGCAATGGCTTGTAATACGGGTGGGCTCCAGCAGCAGGGCGGGACGGACGTGGCCGTGGACTTGTACCTGGCCGTCCGGCTGCTCTTCACCGTCCTGGCCCTCACCCTCGCCTCCATCTTTGTGAGGCTGCGGGGAGCTGAGGGGGAGCGGTCCCGGGAGCCGGCGGCTGCTGAAGCAGCCCGGGAGAGCGGCCCCGGGGAGCAACCGGCAGCGGGAGCGGAGCCGGAGGCCGCCAGGGGACGGCTGTCGGTGGGGGCCGTCGGGGCGGTCGAGGAGCGGAAGGAAGCGGCTGCCGAGCAGCGGGAGAAGGCGGCGGAGGAGCCGAGCCCCGCGGAGGAGCCGAGCCCCGCGGAGGAGCCCAGCCCCGCGACGGCCGAGAGCATTCCCCGGCAGCCGCCCGCCGAGCCCCAGGAGGATGCAGGAGACCACGCAGCATTTCCCGGCAAGGCAGAGGAGGAAGAGCTGGACTCAGGAAAAGAGAAGCCGGTGGTGGGAGAGCCGGCAAGCACAGCAGCTACACCAGCCCCAGTGACAAGTACAGCAGCATCGTTTGAGATTGCTGAAGGTTGTGAATGGCCTTTGGGTGTCCTTGGGACCTGCCTGTGATGGGGATCAGCATGTTGGCACACACACAGACTGTGTTCTGCACACAACCATTTTGTCTGATCTCAAAAGTTGAGCAGAGTGGGGTTTGGGTCTTGTCTGGGGTTAGACGACGATGCAGGGGGACCAAGAGATTTTCTCCAAGCTTGGACAGTCATGAGTGGCAGGGTGTGTGGGACAGTATGGGCAAGTATCTAGTCCACTGGGCCCCTCCAGTGCTTTGGAAGCATCGGAGATGGAAGGCAGCTGTATGGAGTCCCCAGCAACAAGCTGCAGAAACTGCTGAAGGGGACAGTGAATTATTTTGAGCCTGGTAGGCCCATGGCACTTCAGGCCATCAGAGCAGAGATGCAACATAGAGATGGACTCATGATCGAGGGGTGGACTTAGTAATGGACACTATTGCCCAGATTATTCACATGTGTGAACACTGCACACAGTCTCTCCTGCTCTGAAAGACTGTTACAAGAGATGGAGCCTGACATCATGGACCAGATGGACACAGCAGCTTTATAGCTACTGGTCCATGCACTTTGATAAGAGTGATGGTATATTGAAAATGTGGGATCTAAGCATGACGTGAATGGTATGGAATAAGGGGTGGATAATGTCCTGGGTTCAGCAGTAGCAGTCATTTTTCTCCTTGGTAGCTGGTGCAGTGCAGTGTTTTGATTTTCGGCTTGGGAACAGAGCTGATAACAATGATGTTTTGGTTTGGCCAAGGACTCTGTGAGCCTCATGCTCTGCCAGGGAGGAGGGGAAGCCAGGAGGAAGCAGAGACAGGACCCCTGACCCAAACTGACCAAAGAGGTATTCCATACCACAGCACGTCATGCCCAGGATGTAACTGGGAGTTAGCTGGAAGGACTGGGGGACTGCAGGGTTGGAGGAGGTATCGGTGGGTGCTTGGTCGGGCTGGGGGGGAGAGGGGGGGAGTTATCGGTCAGCTGGTGCTGAGGTGTTGTATTCTCTTCCCTTGTTATTTCCTTTATCATTGTTATTATTGGTGGTAGCAGCAGTGGTTTGTGTTATACCTTAGTTACTAAACTGTTCTTATCTCAACCCGTGAGAGTTGCATTCTTTTCGATTCTCCCCTCTGTCCCTCCGGGAGTAGGGGGAGGGCAAGAAGGGGGGGAAGTGAGTGAACAAGCTGTCTGGCTGGGTTTAAACCACGACAAGTCCATTTACATTTCTAAACTCTTCAGTCTGGTTTCCTTTAATAACATGTTTCCTCAGTTTCCGAAAACCTGCCCTTAAACTTGAAAACTGTAATAACATGGTTTTGCTTGTTCATGATATAATTTGGCATTTGTAAACAGGCAAAGTGTAGTCTCAGTGCCTAGTCCTTCTTTAAAATCCTCTTCATTTTCAAAGTCACTACTAAAATGGCAGAAACATGTGATTGATTCTGTGGTTCTTTCTTGAAGACAGGGGGTATGGAAATAGATGATCCTTGCCCTAGTGAGTAGCATTTGTTCTCCAGTTCCATAAAAACACAAATCTCAGTAGAAATAACCTAATAATCTAAAGTGGATCTAGTATTTGTAATTGAAATCAAACTTTTGATGTTATTATTATAGGAAACCCTTTAGGCATGATCTACTTACAGTTGCATCAACAGAAAAGGGATGATTTGTAATAAATAAAGTGCCAGATCACACATTTCAGAGTTAATCTCAGTAATTTCTGCTATGACCTGGCAACCATTCTGCTGTAAGTAAGAAAAGAACAAACTGGGTAAATCAGTCATCAGACAGCTATGAAAAGCCACCAGTAATGGAAAGATGATGGCAACTCTGGGATGTGCCAAGCAGGGAATTTCAGGTGGCGGCAGAACAGGAAAAATGAATGCCTTCAAAATAAATTATTGTTGAGACTTTGGACCCAGGAAAAATAATTAGCATCTCATCATGTCATCATTAGGATTTTGAAACAGCCAAGGCTGTTCATCCCATTCACAATGGTTAGTGGAAAAGTAATCTATTAAATCTTGCAACCAAGAAAGTGGCAATTCTGTCCTGACAGAAATGCTGCGTAACCCATGTGAACTATAGCATTGCACTGAGTCTTTTTCGTGATCTAAAAACATTGTGGCTGCCAACTGAAATATAGGTTGGTGGATGTGAAAGTCTGCGAAAAGACTTATAAATGTCCAGTCAAGATGATCAGCCAGAATGAGAACTTCCGCCTCAGGGTGAAAGTGATCAGTTTAATGGATGCACCTGCCAGAATTAGCATCTATAGGAAGCAACCACAGATTATTTTCAGAAACCATCAGAGCCTGAACTATACCAACTTCAGCCTCATAAGGTTAAGTCTTTGAGGCTGTTGATGCATCAAAACAGATCTCATTTGGAACTATGTATTTTGACCCTCAAAAGTTACCCAAAAGAAGACAATACATGGTCTTTCAAAGCTTCTACCATTTTATTTTGTTTTGTTTTAGAACACAATTCAAGATATTTAATTACCTTCCTTGACTAACCACAGGATGAGCCTCTTGTTCTTAACAGTGTCAGACCTCAGGAGGCTGAGGGCAATGGGAAAGTTCAAGGGACAGCTCATGCTTTGAGGGTCCCAGAGCACAGTGCTTGCTTGCTCTGAGTGGTACTTGCTCCCTCAAGTGGTTTCCTGGGTCAGCAGGACTGGTCACATGCGTACTCATCATGAAAACTAGTTGCACAACTGGGATCAAAGAGTTAACAAGAAAAATGGGGAGTAATCATAGAATCATAGAATAGTTAGGGTTGGAAAGGACCTTAAGATCATCTAGTTCCAACCCCCCGCCATGGGCAGGGACACCTCACACTAAACCATCTCACCCAAGGCTTCATCCAACCTGGCCTTAAACACTGCCAGGGATGGAGCATTCACAACCTCCCTGGGCAACCCATTCCAGTGCCTCACCACCCTTACAGTAAAGAATTTCCTCCTTATATCCAATCTAAACTTCCCCTGTTTCAGTTTTAACCCATTACCCCTTGTCCTGTCACTACAGTCTCTAATGAAGAGTCCCTTCCCAGCATCCCTATAGGCCCCCTTCAGATACTGGAAGGCTGCTATGAGGTCTCCGTGCAACCTTCTCTTCTCCAGGCTGAACAGCCCCAACTTTCTCACCTATCTTCATATGGGAGGTGCTCCAGTCCCCTGATCATCCTCGTGGCCCTTCTCTGGACTTGTTCCAAGAGTTCCATGTCCTTTTCATGTTGAGGACACCAGAACTGCACACAATACTCCAAGTGAGGTCTCACGAGAGCAGAGTAGAGGGGCAGGATCACCTCCTTTGACCTGCTGGTCACACTCCTTTTGATGCAGCCCAGGATGCGGTTGGCTTTCTGGGCTGCAAGCACGCACTGCCGGCTCATGTTCATTTTCTCATCATCTATAATTCCATTTCACTAAATATATGTCCCCTGAGCTACAAAATTTGATAGCAAGTTACATTTCATATGCTACTTTCTTTTAGTGCGTAAAACAAATGTTTATTGTACTAAATACAACATGTTTGACTAAGTGTAAAACACAGGAACCAACATGTTGGTTTCAATTTGTTCTGCATATCACTGGAGGGTATAATCCTTTCACAATTCTATCTAGCCACCATCACTTTCTCATTAATCATTATGTTTCAATGGGGAACACTGAAGGGTGTTTTCACAGATTATAATGAAGTGAGAGGCTAACGTCATGGTCTGTTTATCTTCATACTTAACATAGTATAACTATTTTGTATTTTTTTTTCATTCAGCTAGGACTTGCACCTTGACTTTTGTAAACATAGGCAGTTCAGTTTTCATTGTTAAGGGTGTTGACTTAACAGAGTATAAAATAGGAATCTGAGTACATGAAAGCATCACATTAAAGTCCAACTTTCATTTCTCCTGCTGGTTATATTCAGTGGACCAACTGGCTACTTGCAGCAAAATATCTGAACACGTAAACTAAATGCTAGATTTTAGGCTGCCATAATGAGTGAAGAGTCTTCTGAAAACAATGATGGAAGTCTAGATATCAGTACAGCAGCAGGAGAAGAAGGAAAACTCGTTCACAGGATTCCAGCTCGAATTCCCAGTTCCCTCATACGTGCCAAAAAGGGTCTTTCTGTGACTGTGGATGAAGCAAGATTTCTGGAAAAACCACCCCTATCTTACATAGCCTTAATTGCAAAGGCAATTCTTTCTTCCCCTACAAATAAATTGAATTTAGCTGCTATCTACAAATATATTGAAGATAACTTTCCTTTCTACAGGAACAAAGGTCAAGGCTGGAGGAACAGTGTAAGGCACAACCTTTCACTAAATGACTGTTTCATCAAGGTGGGAAGATGTGAGGATGGCAAAGGAAACTACTGGAGTATTCACCCATCAAACTTAAATGACTTTGTTCATGGGGACTTCAGGCAACATCGAAGGTCGCGGAAGCGAGGGCGTTTAAAAGAGCTGGAGCATTGCCTTGCTATGAATTATTTCATGCCATGGGGACACTATCCTTCCTACCCAGCATCACAGTGGCTTTACCAAACACATTATTTTCTGGATCCTCTGTGGAAAATGCTGAATGCTGACAAACTGCAGTTTGTGCATGAATATCAAAAGTGGAATGTAAACAGTGATTCAATCATGGGGAATTTTTCACCTCCACTGCAGACTGAAAAAAGACATGGCATTTTTGTGGACTGTTTTTATGGATCTCCTGCTACTTCAGTTATGCAGCAGAACATTTTCCTAAGTATTCAACAGGGTTTTCCTAATTCCCTTTTCTTTTCCACTCAAAAGCAGCAGCAAAGTGAAGCATTCAGACACATCTGTAAGTACTAGAAAGTATTTGAAGTGTAGTAACTTTGCAGGCAGGCTGGGAGTCTGTCAAGATAACAATGTATTAATATGTCTTGCATATTTTTTAATACTTGTATATGTTTAAAGGCAGCAAAAGAACTTATTTATGCAAGCCAGTGATTATGAATGAGTGTATTAACTTTGAACTTACAACAATGAATAGTGTTTTTAAATTTCTACTGGTTAATGGCCTGCATAGGTTATTTTGTATAAGAGTAAATCCATTAGCACTAACCAATAAAATTATTTTTAAGTTGTCCTGTATTAATCGTGTTACTGTATACTACTCTGTTAGATTCAAATTAATGCACATGTATGTGTATTTATAACTATATATTCAAACATTTACACCCATATATTTACTTTTATACTTAGTGGAAAGCATTAATTTTTCTTTTGTCAGTTGCGAATTTCTTTGAAATGCTATTTGTCACTTCCCACACTGCTGGAAATACTATGTGAGTTATTCTTCTACTCATTTAATTGTATATCTTGGTTAAGACTCACTTAGCACTATTAATTCTGGTGTCTTGTACTGATCAAAAAAAATCACTGTACATTTATGTATCTTTAGCAGCTCGGAAGGTACTGCTTTTGTTTAAATAAATGTTCAGATAAATAAATATCCCAAGTGAAATAGAATTGCAATATTATCTTTAATATGTTTTTGAGTTCAAATCTGGTTCTTAAATGCATGGCCAATACTAATAAACTACTTAAATGATTAGATAATGATAGCATGACTAATTACAAGTTTATCCATTTAAGAAATTTTAATTTTTCAGATAACTTCACTTACACAAAGTTTCTTGAGCTTATATCTATACTTTCAGTTTACACAGTAATATATATGTACGTGGTTGCCATAGAGTATATTGTGACAAAAAGCACTCACTTAAATATACTTATTAGATGTATGTATGTATCCAGCAAGATCATTGTAACAGGCAATTTATCAGGAAAGTGTAGCAAGATTGCAGTGAAAACACCCAGCTTTTGCTAAGTCATAAACTGCCAGAAAAACTTGCTTTGAAATACTTGCTCACTTAAGATACAGATTTGAGTAGTAAAGCCGCAAAGACCCTGCTATGCCTTAGTCATGAAGAGCCCGAATGTGTAGACAAAACTTGAGACTTGGACAAAGATGGGGAACATGGGGTTCAGGTTTGGACAGATGACGAGACTTGGGTTGAGGAAATGATGGAAATTAACAGAGCTGGGACAAGGAGCCCATACGTGGTAAGCAATGAGCTGTGAGAAGCTTGAGGAATACAAACTGTGAATGCAAGGCAATTACAATCAGACAAAAAATAAAGCTAAGGATAAGAAGAGTCTGGGCAGGTTTGAGGAGCAGCAGGTGGGAAAAGTCGTTGCCTGCTACAGTTTATGTATCAAAATGCCTGGGATGGAATTTCATACAGTTCTTCAGCTGTCAGCAAACTACTTTAAAATTACACAAAACAAGTAACTCCTGTCTGATCTCACTGGCTCCATTAGCTCCCTTGGCAAAAGCTTGTGAAGTGTACCTGAGGACATTCCTAGAAGGACACAATGCTATTTGAGTTCATCTTCCCTGCAAAGAGTCAGAGGAGTGGAGTAAGGGAAGTAGGTGTTAACAGGGCACTTTTGTGACTTATCACCTAACAGGACATCCTTTAAGCCTGGAGTAACCATTTCAGTTTGCTCTGGGAAAAGAATTTCATTTTAACAGATTAGCGATGGTGGAAACATGGCATGTACTAAACCACACACATGCTTTCAGATCTTCGTCCCAGTTTCCTGTGGGAATGCAATAAGAGCAACTCACGTACAGGAGGAGACGTTCCTCTTCTCAGATTTTATTTGAAGACCACTTTGAAATAGTTTTCATATCACTAGTGGTACATGTACCATAGCCTGAGAACTCCCACCTTAGATATTTCCAGTTTGATCATGTAGCTGTCAGTATGCTTTCTTATGGCTTTTTTTAAAATGTGTTTTAACTTTTTGTTTGTGTGCAAAGCACCTGAATGCTGCAGTGGAGGAGGATTCTTTTTATGTAATGAGCAACTCTTAATTTTGTTTTCATCATTCAGTGGGTATCTGTAGCTTTCTTACTTTGCATAGTTTAAACACTGTTCTGAAAACAAAACTACCCAATCCCTATTTGATTACAAACCTTCAAATCCATAATATAATTTACTTTCAAAATAACGTGAGAGATGAGGAACATCTTGGAACATATGCATAAAAGACTGAGGTCAAATGTACACACTCAGTTTGGACATCACGTTTGTGAAATCACTGTGTGGCATTCTGTGTGCTCAAAGCCTAGCTCCCACTTCCCTGGCTTTCAGCTCTGAATGTTCAGAACATTTCCAGTAATCTCAAGCAACAAGGAAACCAGTGACCATTGTCACCAGTCCAGAAATACTGAAGTAGATGAAAGAGAGCAATCTGCCACTGCCATAATATAGACAACCCTTTTTCCACTGGTAATCCCTAACTGAGTTTGCTAAATACCTTCCAGCTTCTGCAACAAAACCTGCTTCATATAATTAGAATCATTTAATAAAGCATTTCTTCATCACACGATTCTAACCAATCTACAAAACACTCTTACTTTGGATATTAAATGTGGCAAGGGAAAAAAATAGACTTTTTCATATAATTAAAGGCAATATTGTAATGTCTTCAACTGAGGTAAGGGCCAAGTTAGGAATGCGCTATTTAGACAAGATGCCATTTTTTTTTCCCTAGCTTCTGAAAGCTTGACATTGTAATCTTAATAATGTTTTTCATCACAGCTGAAGGGGTAGGGTTAGTATGTCATTTTGTGATGAAAATGTCAAAGTACTAATTTGCAAACAAGTTGAAGTAAAAATTTAAAAGCAATAAGAAACAAATCAAGTTGTGTATTTTATCTGAATTCCAAACCCAAAATCCACTTGGCATATGAAAATAAATAATTTTCTGATCTTGAAATATCATCCTACAATTAGAGGACATTAAATTTCTGATACAGGAAATTACCATGTAATGAGAAGACGGAAAGGTTCTTGAAAATTAAGTGGATGAATTACATGCTTGTACGGGAATGTCTGAGGCAGTACATGTGGTGCAAGGGACTCCTTTAGAAGCAAAACCAGCAGTTACAAATGCTGAATTACAGAACGTTTGACAGGAACACAATATCCAAAAGCTGCGTGTTGACAACTTCAGCATTTTCCAGCTGAAATGCATTACTGGGGTTGATAAAATGTCAGGCAGTTCAAATCTCAGCATTTTGACCATTGTCACCTCTGTTCTGCCCATAAGTAAGACAAAGGTCATCTTTTTAGAGCAGATCTACTTTTGGAGTACACAGATGAAATGCCAACATATCACATAAAGCTGGAATGGAGGTCACGTACGCTCTCATAAATAAATACTGCCAATTGCTCTCCTCTTCTTTTTGCACCAAAGAAAATGACTTCTGCATGATGAAATTATGTTTGAACCATACATTTGCTAACACTTTCAATAAACTGTCTTAATGATAAGCAGTAAGAGAACTAGGCCTGAACATGAGAACCTTTTATTAAGGTTATTACACTTCACAGGTAATAATTTTAAGCCAGATAATAACATTGCCTTTGCAGTTGACCTTCACCAGTTTATACAAATATTTATTCTAAAAGTGCAATAAAATGTCTCAGCCTATAAAGCCCAGAAAGTTAGTATACAGTTTAATTTCTGATACATTTGCTTCCCGGCACAACTGCTGAGTCTGAGACTTGTCTTCTTTCATATTGAAAATAACCACTGTCCAGGATCACAAATAAAAGCTTTGTAGAAAAAGAAGCCTCCGAGCTGTATAGCCACTCAAACTTATGTATAATAAGTTATGCCTACCCAATAGTTATCCATTTCTTGTACTCCTGTCACGGAAGACAACTCTCCCCTTTGGAGTTAGCAGAGCACAAATACCTCTTCCACTCTGGTGAAGCTTGTGTACAGGGATGCATGAGGGTAAGTCAGGTTTGGTCTGTAGTGACACCATGAGGGAAAAAAATGAAAAAAAGAAAACACTCAAGGCCTCTGACAGTTGTTCTGGTTTCATCAGGAATGAGATTATGAAAATGAAAATGCCCCAATCATACAGCAACAATACAGCATCACTGTACAGCACAGCAAGGGTTGATTGATTTATATGTGCTCTCCTGTACCTAAGTCTTTGAATTTCTCTGAAATGTAATTTTAACCAGGACTTTCCCAGGTTTGTATTATCTGGCCTGTGCATGTTAAAATAATTAAACATTTGTAATATCCTTAATCTAAGTGATATGCCAAATAGTGATAATAACTTACAAATCAAGTGCTGTGACAAATTGATCATGCAGACCTGGGTCAAAAATCACAATTTTTGTACTAGAAACCAAGTTTTGAATCTTTTTAGCCAACACAGACTCCTGATCAGGTGCATCCAAGCACCAGAGAAATGCCCTGGAAGGCCCACTTCAAATGGCTGAAAGCCACCATGGCACGTCATGTACTACCTTGTCTCAATGTTGCTTTGGCATAGAGGATGTGGCTGAAAGCTGGAGGTCAGATCTTCTGTGATTTTTGCAGTTCTATGCATTTATGTTTACACTCTGTTTAGGTAGGAAGTTGGATATAAAGTCCATGAATGGTTCCTCTGCACCTTACCTGTTCCCAGTACAAGTGAGGACCTGAGCAGCTGCATTAACTATTTCATTCTCTTTTCCTCCTTCTCCAGTGTTTACTCTGTCCTTATGTGTCTGTGTTCACTTTGCTGTCTTCCAGTTCCAACTTGAATTTCTCATTTAAGATTTCATGTGGCCCAGCCCTATTACCTTCTTCTTATGTATTGCTCAGCCAACACTGTCAAAGCGGAACCCTGCATCCCGATATTCCTAGTTCATCAGAGACAGAACAAAGTTTATATCAACACACAGGAATTAGACTTGAACAATTATTCTAAGAACAATGTAGAAAGATTATATAGAGCCTGATTCTGATCTTACCAACAACCATGGAAACAAGAACTAGTTTAATTAGAAGCACAGAGCATAATGTTAGTAAGACTCAGGCTTGTGGACTTTGTTTCAAACGTAAGACCATACTGTACTAATTTTGCTGTGCCCCCGACAGATTTCTCAGCACAATGTGTAGCAAACTTGAGTCAACCTGATAGCTCAGCAAGCCAAGTCTCAGTTAAAGCACTTGCCCCTGGGAAGTTCTTGTCTCCAGCTAGAGCTGTCAGCCATTCAGAAACCCTCTGG